TTTTTTTTTTTTGGTAGGGGAAATCAAACTCAGGATCTTTCGCTTGCCAGATAGGCACTTATGCCATAAGCTACATCCCTAGTCCCTGAAGACTTGTACAGGATAACAAAGGTATCTAAGGCCACTTTTTTTTTTTTTTTTTTTTTTTTAACCAGGAATTGAACTCAGGACCTCGCACTTGAAGGTAGGCACTTAAGCCTCTCCCTAGCCAGATTACCTTTTTGAGTAAGGTATAAAGCAGAAGGCTTTCATGCCAATTGAAACTGGCCTACTGGGGAGATTTGGCTTTGTTGTCTGTTTTTTGTTTTTTAATACAATTACTGTTGTAGGCAGCTGAGTTAGATAGAAATATTATAGGTACTCAGACAGGAATAGGCCCTGAAAGGACCTACTATGGAAGACAAGATACCTTGCAACTGTGGGCCAGACACTTCTGCTGTGGGCCAGACCTCAGGACAAAAAAATTAAATGAACACAGTACATACCTGCCTAGGGATAAGCATATATCTAGCTAGGTATCAATCACCTTGAAAAAGCCAGGAAGTACTAACCTATAAGCCCCTGTTCTGTATTCACGCCTCCTTGCTGGGTGACTTGCTTCCCCATTCAATCCTGATTTAACCAATTCTACCTGAGCAATTCTCAGCTGACCATAGTTTTGTCTCACCTCATGCCCATCTAGTGAGTTCCCATGTTTCCTGCCTTAGACCTGCCTCATCTTGTGATTTTGCTCTATAAAAATCCCTAGAAAAGGCAAATTCCTGAAGACTGGGTGTGGTGGTTTGTGCCTGTAATCCCAGCTCTTGGGAGGCTGTAAATAGGTGGATCACTGAGTTTGATCTAGTAGTGAGACCCTGAACACCCTGTAGACCCTTCACTAAAATACAAATAAAAAAATAGAAAAGGCAGATTCCTGGGCAACCTACTCAGATCCCCTTCTGTCTTCTCAGCAGGAGCTTTCTTTCCCTCAATAAATATATCCTGCTCTTAACCTTCGTTGTTCCTAAAATTCATTCATTGGTTTTAGAGAACAGGAACTCATCCAAGGTATCTTTCAGGTTGGGACTTTCATTCCCCTATCTGATTACTTTATTGATTTCTTATGATTAAATACTGCCAGCTGGCATTACTTCCACTTATGCATCATTTAAAGGGTAGTTCTTCGGTATTTTCAAATGATAATCATATTTAAAAAACAACTTAAAATGTCCTTGATTAATTGTTTTTTGTTTGTTTGTTTGTTTGTTTGTTTTTTGTCTTTTTGAGACAGGATCTCACTATGAAGTTCAGGCTAGCTTTGAGCTCACTTTGTAGCCCAGATTGGTCTCCAACTCCCAAGACCCTCCTGCCTCAGCCTCCTTGGATGCTGGAATTACAGGCGTGTGCCACCACTCCTGTTTTACCACATCTTTTTTAAGCAAAATGTGCAGGGCTGGGGAGGTAGCATGGTGTTCTAAGCACCTACCTGGCAAGTGCAAGGACCCAGGTTCAATGCCCAGTACCACATGCCATGCTGGCCCCCAAAACCAGGTGTGGTGGTGCACCAGGAGGGTGAGAAGCACTGGGGAGTGTGAACTGTATAGCGAGACAGTGTGTCAAATAAATAAAACGCTAGGGGTTTTGGCACAGCACAACCACAGGGAGGTGAGGGATACTCTGACCTGAGACAGGAACGCTGAGACTTTTACTAGGAGTGGAGTTTGAGGGGCAGGTTCAGTGACACCTAAGGAGCTGATTGGGGCTCACGTGTGCTCTCAGGAAAGGTATCCAGGACTGGGGTGGGGGTGGAGGAAGTGGACACTGGGAAGCTAGCTGTTGTTTTTGGGATTCAGCCATGTTGAATAAGGGCCATGATAATTTAGCAGTTTGTATTCTGGGCAGAACGTATCAGAAAATATTATTCCAGGTAGCCATTTGGTTTGTACCAGGAGGGCCAAGGAGTTGCTCAGTGGCATAGGTGCCTGCCTGGAAAACACAAGGTCTTGAGTTCAAATCCCGGTGGGGGAAAAAAAAAAGTGTTTGTACCAGGAGAAAGGCAACTTCTGAGCTGTGTCTGCCAAGTTGGAATCTTCAGCTATGCTGGAGAATCAGCTTAGCTGGGGACACTATGTCTGTCCCCAGGGCTGGGCAGCGTCTCTCTCCCACAGAAGCCTGACGATGATAATTTCAGGATTGCCTTTGTATGTGGTTTTTCTTTTTTTCTTTTTTCTTTCCTGTACTGTGTTATTGAATTATTTCTGGGGAGGCCTCGTGGCGCAACGGTAGCGCGTCTGACTCCAGATCTGAATTATTTCCTCTTCTGACCTCTCTGTTGACCTTCCATTTCAATTACTTATAAATCCTTTCAGGATATCCTCGGAGAGCTCCACAGGCAGAAGTTCTGGAGAGGGAAACCTCAAGAGAGGAAGCTGGGGTACTGGCATGTCCTTGGTTTTCCTGGTATTTGCTGCAAACTTCTGCCAGGCTGAAGAGGCTGCAGCATTCTCTCAAGGCGGTGGCAAGCCTGTCCACAGCTCTGATTTTTCTACAAAGTCAGCATCCATGTCCAGCTCCTTTTCTGTTGAACCTTTTCGAAGTCTGGCCTTTTGGGCCCTTTGTGATTTATTTTCTTTCCTTAATCTTTCATTCCCTGCCACGAGGAACTCCACTGACTCTTCAAATCTGCAGTTCTAGTTGCCTGCTCCTCTATAACTGTTTCGTCATCTCTGAGGGCTTCGCTTCCAGTACACGGTTTTGTTGGAGTGTGCCTGGAGCCCTGTCAAACAAACCCTGAATTTCAGGGGGCGCTTCTCTGTGGAAGGGCTGCTGTGCTTCTGAGCAAGAAGGGGGCTCTGGCCTTCGCGTCTGCCGCGGAGGGCTTGGGAGATGCCCGGCGTCGGGCAGCCGCGTCCCTCTTCTGCGGGGCCTTCAGTCGCTCCTCAGCAGCGTCATCACCGGCCTCTCCCGGATGAGGAGCAACACGCTCCCTGTGGCTGATCTGCAATTCCAGAAGCAAGGGAGCCTGCTCAGACTGTGTCAGCTTCTTGGCTTCACAAAGATATACTACCGCTTTTTGTGACAAGGAATAGCCTCTTCAACTTACCCTGCGGCTAATAACGTCCGCTTGGTTGCGGCTCGCTCGCACGCGGCATCTCGCCTCTCGCGAGACCTCACCAGCAGCTTCCGGAAGTCTATCCGGAAGTTCCCAGGGGCGCTGCAGTCTTGGTGTCTGTAATGCGGCTGTTTCCTTTTTGTTGGCGGTACAGGGGATCGAAGTCAGAGCTTGTGCTTGCCAAGCAGGCGCCTATGCCGGGGAGCTGCCTCCCTGGCTCAGCTTCTCTCGTTTCCTTGCAGCCTGGGTTTTCCTCAAATCCATTCTGCTTAGGTAAACCTGTTCTCTCATTCCCATCTTTACCCATGTACTGTAAACTGCTGCCCTGCCGGAAAATGCAGCTCCCAGTGATCATAAACCCAATGTCAGTAAGGAATTAAGACAAATTTAAACTAAGAGAAGTCGGTTTCTTTGTGGAGAAAAGGGAGGAGAGACGAAAGCTACTCAATGAGTAGGGACGATTCAAAGGAGAAATACTTTTTTTCTTCTTCTTGACAGGGTCTCAAGGGGCTAGGGAGAGATAGCTCTGCGGCATAAAAGCCTGCTTGGCAAGCTCAAGGTCCTGAGACTGAACGCTGGTATTGAAGGAAAAAAAAAAAAAAAAAAAAAGGTCTCGAATTGCCTAGCGTGGTGGCGCACGTCTGTAATCCCAGCACTCGGAAGGCTGAGGCAGGAAGATCTTTTCAAATTCGAGATCAGCATAGGTTACAAAGTGAGCTCAAAACCGGCCTGAACTACATAGCAAGACCGAGTCTCTTTCTTTCTTTTTTTTCTTTTTCTTTTTTTTTCCGAGTCTCTTCCTTCCTTCCTTCCTTTCCTTTTCTTTCGGGAAAGAAAGACAGTCTCGCAGGGCAGTTCGGACCGCATACCCAGGCTGGCCTCAAACTCGTGGCGAGCCTCTAGTGTCCTGCTGAGATTACAGGCATGCACCACCACACAGGGTTAAAAGCCATCTGATTTCTTAAAGCTTATGGTTTGTAGGGCAAAAGGATTGCCCCACAAACCTTTAGAATCCTTAACAGCTGGGTTTTCAGAGCCCCGCCCCGTCCTACCCTTCCTCCGCTGGTGCAATTACTAATCCACCCGCCAAGCATCAAGACTGACCCGCCCTTGCTTCTCTTTTCTATCCTAGTCTTCCGGCCGCCCTGCCTCCGTCTGATCTGGAGCTCTCGGGCCCAATCTGGAAGGCTCTGCTCCGCCCTGTGGTACGCCCCTTCCAGACACAACCAATCATTATTCAGCTCTTCTTAACCCCGCCCTCACGCAGCCTCCCGCGTTTCCCTGGCCACGCCCCTTATGTACGTCACTGCCCATCTGGCCTCTCCCGCCTCTACCCTGCACTGCCTGAACGTCCGTCGCAGACTCCGCCCCACGCGCAGAGCTGCAGCCATGGCTGTCACCGCCGAGGGCGCCCGCAGGAAGGAGCGCATCCTTTGCCTGTTTGACGTGGACGGGACTCTCACGCCGGCTCGCCAGGTAGGACTCCGACGATCGGAAAGAAATACGTTGCACGAGCGTCGCTCAGACGTCCGAGAGTTCGTGTGGGACCTGCAGTGGCGCGACAACGGACACCCTGGTACCCGCGGTGGTGGGCACCCTCGGGCCCCCACCTACAGCCTCCAAGCAGGCATCGGTGCGCTGTAGGTCCGGGTCCTGGACCCTCTTCCCTCACTATCCGGGGCCTGGCTCTGGGAAGCCTGGCCACCCCTGCGGGGGCTTCTGCCCCATTTCATCCCTAGGATGCACACCAGGAGTCTGAAGCTGGCGCCTGAACCCGGTGTCCAGGCCAGGGTGGTGCGCGCCCCATTGTCAGTTACCCTCTGCTGGTGGCAAGAGGCTCCCTGAGCCTTCATGGGCCTCGGGGAGGGATGAGCCACCCTGCCTCCCAGATCTGAAGGCTGCAGACCCTGAGGAAAGGCAGTGGCGGCTGGCAGTGTTGACACAACAGCCTGAACAAGAACTGCCTTTTAATTTGCCCACCAACAGGTCTGTGTTTAGCACCTTTCAAAAGTTAATTTTTTAATTATACGCAGGTCCAGAAACACATTATTTTTGTAAAGAATGGAAATAGAAAGATTGAAATCTTCTCTGACCACACCAAGATCCTTGCCCTGGCCCTCTCCCCAAAGTAGTGTGGTTGCCTGTCTAGTGTGGCCTCCTCCCAGACCTCTGTCTGGGCCCTTTTGCCTGGAGGAAATGCTAAGTAATGTTTTGTGAGGCTTTCCTTTTTTTTTTTTGTATCAGGAGTCGAACTCAGGATATTGAGCTGGTGAGACAGGCGTTGTGCTACTGAGCTATGTCCTTGGCCCTGTGAGGCTATTTTTGTTTGTTTTTGAGACAGGGTCTATACAGTTCAGGCTGGCCTTGAACTTGTGGTGATCCACCTTCCTCAGCCTCCCAAGTGCTGGGATTGCAGGTGTGCACCACCAGGCCTGCTTACTGTTTTTCTCTATTCTACATATATTCTAGATATATATACCCAGGAACCTCCATGGGTACCTATATAAAAAAAGTGGAAACTCTGGGTGACAGGCTGTGTGCATTTAAGTTTTAGTGGATCTTGCCAAGTTACCTTCCAGAAGAGCTGTACCAGTTTACAGTCTCAACCAACATCATGTGCCTGCTTCCCCTACCTTATCAACCACTCTAAATAATGTCATCTTTGGTCATCTGAATGTTTCAAAATTTAGATTGTATCTTATTAGTTTATGCTTCGTTGGTGGGAAATCTTTTCTGTTGATTAATGGTCAGTTAATTGCTTTTCAGTCAGACACTTTGAATCATTTAATCTTTTTTTTTCCCAATATGAATCATTTAATCTTGGTAGTGCCCCTTTGATACTATGTTGCCCATTTTTCTAATTACTTACTTTTGTGTTACTGGGAATTGAACCTCGGACCTTTCCACTGAACTATATCCCCAGCCCTTTCATGGATTTATATTTTTAAAATTTTGAAAGAGCCTCATTAAGTACCTACATTGCCCGCACTGGACTCTTCTGACCCTCCTGTCTCAGCCTACCAGCATGCTGGGATTGCAGATGTATAGCACCGTACTCAGCTCATATAGGTGTCATGCATGTCTTGTACGCGTAGCCTGAAGGCGATATTATACCTTTTTTTTCCTGAACCTGGGGATCAGACCCATTCCCCCACCCAATGCCCTGCACTTTTTGTTGTTGTTATTCTTTTTATTGTCTTTAAGAGATGGTTTTGCTGTACAGTTCAGGCTGGCCTTGAGCTCACTTTGTAGCTCCAGGCTGATCTCAAACCCAAAGATCCTCGAATTATAGGTGTGTGACTCCATGCCTGGCTTCAGCCCAATCTTTTTTTTTTTTTTTTTTTTTAATTTTAGGGAAGGGTCTACAGGATGTTCAGGGTCTCACTACTTGATCAGACTCAGTGATCCTCCTGCTTACAGCTTCCCAAGAGCTGGGATTACAGGCTCATGCCACCATACCCAGTCTCAATTGCAGTCTCAGTATGCCCTGGGGCGGGGCTTCAAACCCCCAGTCCCATTGCCTGCTTGCAGGGTGCTTTAATCTGCTGAGCTATTTGGCCGGCCCTTCAGCCCAATTTTGTAAGGTGTTTTCAATTCACATGTTTTGATGATGATTCATTTCAGAAGGTCATAGGGCTGGGGAGATGGCTCAGTGGAATAAGCGCTTGCCTGGCAAGCACAAGGGTCTGAGTTCAATCCCCGGTTCTGCAAAAAGAAGAAGAAGAAGGTCAAGTGTGCAAGTTTCCATTTGTGACACTGTGTCAGCACTGACAATCAGATTTGGAGCATTTCTGATTTGGGGACTAGGGATATTGAGCCTCTCCTTAGATCCAGGTAGAATGTGGGTTCCCAGCTCTAAGAGCTAAGTGGGGATCTCGGATTTGCTGACAGCCAGACTCCTCTCTTCTGCCCCCACAGAAAATTGACCCCGAGGTGTCCGCCTTCCTGCAGAAGCTTCGAAGCAAGGTGCAGATCGGCGTGGTGGGTGGCTCTGACTACAGCAAGATCGCAGAGCAGCTGGGGGAAGGGGATGAAGGTAGGAGAGGGCGGAGTTAGATCTTGTTGGGCGGGGAATGGACTTTAAAGAGCCCATCCTACTTCTCAGGGATCGAAGAGGTAGAAAAGGAGCTGAGTGTGGCAGTGCACGCCTGTATCCCGGCACTGTAGAGGCTGACCCAGGTGGTTACTATGAGTTTGAGCCCAGCATAGGTTGCATAGTGAGTTCAAGGCCAGCCTATACTACGTAGTAAGGCCCTGTCCCAAAAATAAAAAGAGAGAGCAAGAGAGAAGGAAGAGAAGGGGCAGCCGGAAGTTCACTCGCTGAGTCAGGGACCCATAGTGAGCGCCTTCTACTGCAGGGCAGGTGCTGTGCCAGCAGTGGAGAAGTGGCTGGGAACAAAGTGGGCGTAGGCCATTTGCTTCTCCTTCCTCCCTGCTGAGTCTTGATTTCCTCATCTCTGATGGGGACGTAATCAGTAATGTGCACAAAATGATGGGGGGGGGCAGGGAGATGGCTCAGTGGAATAAGTGCTTCCCTGGCAAGCGCAAGGGACTGAGTTCAATCCCTGGTTCCATAAAAAAAAAAAAAAAAAAAAAACCAGGGGTAGCTGGGTTTGCTGTAATCCTGCAATCAAGGCCGGGACACGGCTCAGCAGCATAAGCACCCACCTGGCAAGCGCAAGGTCCTGAGTTCAATCATATTTATATTCCTGCAATCATGCTGTAGGTTTGCCCTTGTTGTCCCTTTTTGGCAGTGAAGACCAGTGTCACCTGGGAATTTGTTCCACTCCAGAGCTCCCAGGTCCAGCTCCTTGGCAGCAGAGGCCTCCAGTTCCTCAAACCACACACTTCTAGGGTTTTCCTTCTTCCTGCCCCCTTGTCCATTCCATTCCAGTCAGATACTTCCCTCTCCTGCCCATTTTCTCCACCTCATCATCTTGTGTGCCAGATCCTCTCCACCCAGACGCTGCGCCACCCACTCCAGCTGCTTCTCCTGGCAGCCAGAGTTGAAAGTTCCCGTTGTAGCCAGCCCAACTACTCGGTGCTAGAAGCTGGTCTGTCCCAGGGGCCGTGGGAGCGCAGCAGAAATGACGCCCTCTGCTGGCGAGTCCTCAGCCAGGGCAGCGGCAGGAGCTTGTAGGATGGGCGGAGGGGAAATCCCGAGGGTAGTGCAGGCAGCCTCCCCCCTGGGTGAGGGTGGAGAGAGAGCAGTGACCAACTTCTGGGGCAACAAAGCTGCAAGAGGAACAGAGGCTGGAGCAGCGGGTTCAGCAGGGAACAAATGGGCCCTGAGTGCCAAGCCGAGAAGCGAATGCTCCATCCTCTCTGCTTGCTTCTGGGGTAACAGAGGGACCTGGTCTCAGGCTCTGTCTTCCTCCCCTGGCCTCTCTGCGGCCTACAGTCATGGAGAAGTTTGATTACGTGTTTGCAGAAAATGGGACGGTGCAGTATAAGCATGGGCGACTGCTCTCTAAACAGGTCAGTGTGCCCACTGCCTGGGGGGCTCTGTCTTGGGGGGTGGCGGGGAGGCCACACCACACTGAGACCCGTGTTCCTTGCCCAGACCATCCAGAGCCACCTGGGGGAGGAGCTGCTGCAGGACCTCATCAACTTCTGCCTCAGCTACATGGCCCTGCTCAGGCTGCCCAAGAAGCGGTGAGCACCCAGGCCCAGGGCCACCAAAGTGTGGGTCACCCCGCTGGAGCCTGAAGACACTTGCACCCCTCAGTTATCTTTTTTTTTTCTTTCTTTTTTATTTTTTTGGTGGAACTGGGGATTGAACTGAGACCCTTGCACTTGCCAGACAAGCGCTTATTCTAGTGAGCTACCTCCCCGGCCCCCCGTTTTCTTTTTTTTTTTTTTTTTTTGCTAGGGATTGAACCCTTGTGCACGCTGAGCAAGCAGGCCTGCACGATGCTACAGCCCCGGCCCTGGACCCCTGACTCCTGGTGGGTGGATTCCGGTTCCCAATGAAGCCCCTGGAGGCTATGGCCCCAGACAGGGCTGGATTTGAATTCTGGCCTCTCTCGTTCTCCCTGGCTGGCCACCTCTGTCTCCTCCAGTGGCACCTTCATTGAGTTCCGGAATGGCATGCTGAACATCTCGCCCATTGGCCGCAGCTGCACCCTAGAGGAGCGGATTGAGTTCTCTGAACTGGACAAGGTGCTACCATCCGTGTGACCTTACACTCGAAGGACTCAGCCCCTCCACCTCTCTGGGTGCCTGGGGTGGGAGGGAGTTCCAAGTGAACCAGTGCCCTTGGGACCTGGCCTGTGTCATTGCCAAAGGCACATCTGCCCCTTTCCAGGGCTGCTGGCTTCCTTTTCTAGTGATTTGTGCCACCAGCCACCTAGTTACCCAAGGCAACACCTAGGGCACATCATCGACACCTCCCCACCCCCATCTGGTCCAGAAGCTCCTGATCCTCCAGCCTCCAGGGGTCGTCAGTCTGGAGAGAGTGCCCCCCGCCTGGCTCAGCACTCAGAAAATCATCAGCAATCCCAGTGCAGCTGTGGCCCGGCCCAGCATCCTGTGACCCCACAAGCCCCTGCCACCTTTAGGCTAAGCTTGCCCAGCTCCTTGTACTCATTTCCAGCATCACAGCTGCAGCTTGCTCTGCTGACAAGGAAAGGCAGACACTGGGACTCGAGTCCTGGGCTGCTGGATCTTCTCTGCCTTCCTCCTGGGCCTCCTTCAGAACCCCGGCCCACACCCTACTGGCAGGGATCTGGCTCTGCCACTGCAGCCGGGTGACCTTGGACAAGGCATGGCCCCTCTCTGAGCCTTGTCTGTAAAGTGCAGTTATCCCCCTAGAAGGCCCCTTGTGCCCAGCACAGAGCCTGGTACACGGCTCCCCTGAGCCTTGCTCTGTGCCTTCCCCCTGCAGAAGGAGCGGATCCGGGAGAAGTTCGTGGAAGCCCTGAAGACAGAGTTTGCAGGCAAGGGGCTGCGGTTCTCTCGAGGTACATTCACCCTGGAGACTGCAGGAGCCCCTCAGGGGAGGGCTGGCCGGTGCCCCACTGGAACTACACGCCTGGGAGACTTGCTGGGCGGCTTACCCTGCCTTACTTTGGGGACACCCAGTCCAGATAACCCTGCTCATCCATGGCCCCATGAGCCTCCCACACCCATCTGGCTCTCACACGGTCTTGTTTATACCCTGCATATTGTCCGCTGGATCTGACATCCCTGTAGAGGCCGAGTATATCCTGTGCCCTGTGCCTGCCCTGGGCAGATATTTGGGGTTGTGGAATAAATAAAGGAGCACAGGCCTTGCCCAGCACACCCTGCAGCTACCCCCTGCCAGCCTCTGCCCTCCCTGGAGGGAGTCACAGCCCCCTCCCTCCCACAGGTGGCATGATCAGCTTTGACGTCTTCCCTGAGGGCTGGGACAAGCGCTACTGTCTGGATAGCCTGGACCAGGACAGCTTTGACACTATCCACTTCTTCGGAAATGAGACCAGCCCTGTGAGTGTAGCCCAGCCCCCCTCTAGCTTACACACTTGTGATCAAGGCCAAGACTGAGGGCAACAGAACTTGGGTCAGGGACCTTCTTCAAACTCAAAACCCAGGGCTGGGGATACAGCTCGGTAGCATAAGGTCCTGAGGTCTATCCCCAGTACTACCAAAAAAAAACTAGCCAAATAGCTCAGTGGACTCAGGTACCTGCTTAGACAGGCGCAGGGACCAGGGTTTGATCCCCAGTATGCTGTGCCAGCCCCATCCATGAGGCAAGCTGAGACAGTGACTAAGATTTGGGAGGCTGAAAACAGGAGAATTGCTACAAGTCCACTCTGTGTAGTGAGACCCTGAAGACCCTGTACTACATTTAAAAAAAAAAAAAGCCTAACTCCTAATCCAGTTCGAAGGTTAGGACTCAGAGAGGGCTATACACCTTTTCCATGTCACACAGCAAGTCTGACAAGGACCATGAAGGGCTTCCTAGGGGCAAGAAAAAGGGCAGCTCTAGTGGGTGGTGTGGGGACCCCAACCCCAGCAACCTCCTCCAGGCATCCCCTACATCAGGCCTTCTCTGCCCTTCCTCTACAGGGTGGGAATGACTTTGAGATCTATGCAGACCCCCGGACTGTGGGCCACAGCGTGGTCTCCCCTCAGGACACGGTTCAGCGATGCCGAGAGATTTTCTTCCCAGAGACGGCCCATGAGGCGTGAGCAGTCCCCACACCCAAAACGGAATCCAGAGCACTCTGGCCAGGCCCCCAGAGGAACGCCAGCTTTGGCTGCGGAGGGCACCCTGGTCTCTGGCCCAGGGCACTGATCTCGGGCCTTGCTTCAAGGCCCACGCTGCACTGAGCCTGGCCCCCGTCCTGACAGCTGTGGCCACAGCTGCTGCTCTTAGTTCACAACACAGCAGGCCTGGGAGGAGATGGTGCAAGGGTACGATGTGGAGCCCCCCTGCCCGCCCACCATGGAGAGGAGGGGCAGAGTAGAGGAGGTGCTGAGCGACCTCGGGACTGTGTTACAGCATTAAAGGTCCCAGGACAAGGCAAGGTGTTGGGTATGTCTGAGGGGCTACGAGCCTTTGCTGTTACGTCACAGGCTGCTAACCATTACTTGGAAAGTGAAGAAACGGGGACAAGGACTTGCTCTGGGTCACCCAGAAATTGTTGATCCGTTGAGGCCTCAGACAAGGGCCAGCTCAGCACGTCCTTCCCTGCCCCTCCCAGGACGAGGGCAGAAAGCAGCTCCCGGCTGGCTGGAGTAGGTCACAGTTGAGAGTTTATTGCCAGTGTTAGGAAGGATGGGGAGTCCGTGGCTGGGGTCTCGGGATGACTTCCAGTGCTGTGGGGCAGAGAATGGGGAGGAGGCTGCTGCCCCCCACCCCCAGCTGGCCCTGGCCTGATGCCTGTGCAGGATACCTGCTCGTGGGAGGAAGGCTAAGGGGCAGGCCTGTGCTGGGGGCCACGGTGTCAGTGTCCAGCCCGGTGGGTGCCAGGTGGCTGGCCCTCCCCACGGGTGGGGCTGCCAGGTACCTCCCAGTCTTTGGTGGGGCTGGGCTGTAGGTGCCACTGCTGGTCTCTGTCCTGGGGTCTCGGAGCAGCTCCAAGGCTTCCTGGGCAGTCACTGACCCCTTGTCCTGGTCACGTGAGCCCCACTTTACTTGCCGACTGGGTTTCAAGGGCTGCCGTCCTGGTAGGGCCCCCTTGAGCTTGTGATCCCACTCTCCCCACATTGGAGATTGAGAGGGAGGGTGAAGGGCAGGGTCCCTCCTGGGCTAGGTCACCCCTGCCACACACAGGGCCATGGCGGGCCCAGGACAACTCCTAGTAAGGGACTGTCACACACAGGGACACAGCAGGGCTGGACACTGAGGGCCCCTGGGCTGCTGGCCTGTCAGGACCTGTGGAGCTGCTGTCTGTCCCGCAGCCATTGAAGAGGCTCTTGTGGGGGCCCAGCCCAGTGGATCCTTCTGGTGCCTGGGCCTGGCCTCATCTGAGGGGACGAGGTGTCGTCCCTTGCTTTATCTGCCTCAGCTGGTGGCTGGGCCCGGGGCAGAGAATCCATGGGTTTGGGAGTCAGGGAAAGGAAACAGCTGTACCCAAGCTAAGGATTCGCATCCCCTCGGGGGAAGGGGATGAGCCTGGGGCTCCCAGAGCCATGGCCAGGTTGAACAGGAGCCGCAGATCCCTCCTGTCCCCAGGCTGCCCTTGCTGACCCGGCCAGTGCCCACAAGAGCTTGAGCGGGAGGGTGGGCTGGCCATGGCAGTGAGGGCCTGTGCACCCCCACTTTGGCCCTCTTCCAAGGGAGCTCCCCAAAGTGCTCACCAGCCAGGCTGCTAAGGGGAAGGATCAGGCCATGGCAGGAGGCTCAGCCCAGGGCAGGACAGAGGAGCACAAGCAGAGGGGAGCAGGCTCATCTGAGAGGGGTCCCCAAAATCCCCAGAGGTGGGCAGAGACAGCCAATATGGGCCATGGGCAGGAGGACGAGAGGGTCCTGTGTGCTCAGCTGGAAGGGACAGAGGAGGGACAGGCCAGGCCGGGGTGATGGCCTCCCCTCCGGCTAGCTCTGGCCAGCTCGCTAGACAGTCACAGGGCACGGGTGGGTGGAGGCACGCACACATGGCCACGAGCACAGACAGACAGACAGACACGTGCGCACCGGGGGCTGCCCGCCTCCACACGGCTCCCAGTCTAGGAGCCCACGACCTGGCCAGACCACGTCTCGTGAGGGGTGTGCGGGGCCAGCTGGGTGAGCACCACCTCCACAGCCTGGAACTTCTGGTTCTTGGGCGGGATGGGGCACATCTTGTAGGTCACCTCGTCACCCTCCACGGGCACATACTCCCCCTCGATGCTGGTGGGTGGAAGGGGACGGTCAGCTGAAACCAGTGTGGCCCCAACAGAGCAACCTAGCCCTGGCGTAGGGAGGCCCAGACCTTGGCAAGCTTCCTGCTCGGACCCCCGCTTGCTCGCTCAGCATTTTGGAAAACTGAGGCGGGACGATCCCAAGCTCAATTCCTGCCCAGGGAATTTAACGAGATCTTGTCTCAAAATAAAAAGGGCTGAGGCTATAGCTCAGGGAGAAGACTCGGGTCCAATTCACAGAACTGAAAAAAGCAAACTCAGAGGTAGACACCGTGGCACGCCTCTGCAGTCCCAGCCTCAGCAGGCTGGGGTAGGAGAACTGCTTTGAGACCAGCCTGAGCTACACAGTGAGTTCAAGGTCAGTCTCAGTTACACGCTGAGACACACGCACACACACAAAAACCAGACAACAAAAACAAAGATAAAAATGGGACAGAAACACAATTATCTTTCTCTCTATATCCTTTGGGAAGCGAGACGTGAGCGATCAGAGGTCTCCGAGGTTCTGGGGAGTCTAGAGACCTCTCCTGTCACTCCATCTTAGTGCTAGCTGGGGACAAGCCCACCTGTACCCCACCACCCCCAGCCCAGGGCCCCCCAGGCTGCAGGAGGAGCACAGCATCCCACCCACCCTTCCCACACCCGTAGCCCTCCCAAGAGGGGGAGGCTGCTTCCAGGCAGTGCTGGGGACACTGAGGGGGCCAGCTGAGAACAGGGGGCGAGGGACTCACTCAGACACATGCACGAAGATGTCCTCTGACCCATTCTCTGGGGTGATGAAGCCGTGGCCCTGGGAGCGGGAGAACTGCTTACAGACGCCCTTGAACACGGGGCCGGCTGAGGCGCGGGCCGTCCTAGGGCGGAGAGATCGCAGCTGTCACCTGGAGGCCCCAGCCCCTGCCGGCCTGGTCCCAAGAGCCTGCGGGACCAAGGGGATAGCCGCGGCCAGTGCGCACTGGGTCACCCCCACTGCACAGATGTCCCGACCCCCTCCCGGGGCCACAGCATGAGGTCTCCTGACTCCCTGCAGAGCCCCTCTCCACACAGCGCCCTCTGCTCCTCAGGTTATTTGGACTTAAACAGATTCCTCCTGTAAGATTTCTTTCTCTTGTTTTGTTTTGTTGTGTTTTTTGAGACAGGATCTTGCTATGCAGTTCGAACTGGACTTGAACTCACTGTGTAGCCCAGACAGACCTCAAACCCACAGCGATCCTCCTGCCTCAGCCTCCCAGTGCTGGGATTACAGACATGTGCCACCACACTCAGCCTTAGCACAGGACGTTTTGTGGACTGAATGAGTACTATAGTTACTGGGGTCCACATCCAGCTCTTCCTCCTCATGAGGACAGCCAGGACACAGGAGGCCAGGGAGCCCAGGGGAGGGGCAGGCACTCACGCCGAGTATGTCCTGGTGCGCTTGGTGGGCAGCGGGCTGGGTAGGTCCCGAGGCGCCCCGCCCCGCTCCCATACCCTGCTGCCCTCCCTGTGGAAGGGGAAGGTAGGCCAGACAGGGGACTTGGGCGAGAGCAGCGGGGGCACCACTGCAGGCGATGTGGACTCCGATGTCATGGCGGGGCCAGCAGAAGAGCCTGGTGGGTTCTGGGGCTCCGGGGCCGGTGAAGGGCTGGGGCGTCCTTGCGGGCAGGGCCCGGCCTGGCCCTGCTCGGCAGCCTCGCCTGCCACAGGCTCCGTCTGCAGGGGCAAGAGAGAGGACAGGTAAGGCCAGCCTGGGGACAGGCAGGACACTAGACACAGTGGGCAGGGCTGTTCCACCAGCTACCTCTGTATTGCGACCAGAAAGACAAAGCAAGCAAAGCTCGCAGGCCCATGCCATGACTCAGGGTCTCACTACGCAGCTCAGGCTGGCCTTGAGTTCACTTTGTAGCCCAGGCTGGTCTCAAACTCACAGTGATCCTCCAGCCTCGGCCTCCCAAGTGCTGGGATCACAGGTGTGCACCACCATGCCCTGCCTGGGTGCCTAGGATTTGGCATGAGTGTTTCAAATTCACAGCACAGGGTTCAGATCTCAGCTTTGTCACTTACAACTTGGTGGCCTCAGCCAAGGGACTCAGTAGGTCCCACATAGTAGGCAGGAACCCAGGCTACAGCTCCATGCACTGAGTTGGAATCCCAACTGACGCCTGTCTCTCCTGGCTGTGCGGCCTTGGCCTGCCCGCCTGGCCTGTGATGGCTCAGCTAACATCCCCCTAGCACGAGTCATGGGCACAGTGTGGCACTGGCACTCTACGATAGCCCTTTCTGCTCGCTGGGAACAGACGGCAGGAGCTCCTGGGGATGCGAGCTATTTTTCCTCAGCCCAGTTTCTGCTGCTCTAAATGAGGCTGCAGAACCCCAGATGTCAGCTGGGGTATGTCGCCTCGTGTGTGTGAGAACCCGATTCCCAGTACGAGGCTGGACGTAGCTCGCCGGGCGCCGTAGCCCTGCCTGACCTAGCGGTGCCTCCCGACTCAGCCTTACCTAGTTCCAGGAGGCACAACCAGTACCAAAAATATCAACTACCAAAACACAGTTTTGGCTGGGAAGGACAGCGGTCCACTAGGCCATCGACAGGGACAAATACTTTAGCTGGTTTTTTGTTTGTTTGTTTGTTTGTTTTGAGGAACCAGGGATTGAACTCAGGCCCTTGCACTTGCCAGGCAAGCGCTTATTCCACTGAGCCGTCTCCCCGGCCCTTTTAGCTCTTTTTTATTGAGACAGGGTCTCGCTATGTAGTTCAAGGTGGCCTCAAACACACGGAGATCCTCCTGCCTCAGCTCCCTGAGTGCTGGGATTACAGACCTGAGCCACCTCTGGCAAATTCTAGCTTGGAGTGGCAAACAATGACTACTGGGTCAAAAGCTTCCCATGGGGACACATCCAGGAAGGAATTCCATGACACCGCAGAGGGAGGGTTGCGCACTGTGATCAATGCTGATCAATAGCAGCCCCCAAGGCCACAGCTTGGCTCCTAGGTGACGTTGAGCAAACCAGCTGGTATTTTCCTCCACCTAAGAAAAGGCTGTAACTTCCTTGGCACCCGGCCCAGCACTCTTCCCCTGAGGTTGGGACGTCTCAGAGCCCAAGAAATCGGCCTTGGAGCTTTGGCAAGGGACAAGCAGCCGCAAGGGTAGGAGGGGTCAGGACAGCGCCTGCTCTGACCATCCCCCCAGCCTCAGTTTCTTCATCTGTACAATGGGACAGGAAGGCCTATGTCTCCCTCACTTAGGCCTGGACTTTAAGAAGACTTAATGAAAAAAGAAAAGAAGAAGAAGGAGGAGGAGGAGGAG